TCAGGGGGCCCCTCAGGGGGCCCCCCACCGGGGCCCCTGGAGAGGCTCTACAGGGGCCCCCCGGGGGGCCCCCCAGGGGGCCCCTCAAAGGGTACTGGGGGGGCCCCCCACCACCGCTGTGGGGGGCCCGCTGGGGGCCCCCTGGTGGGTTGGGTTGGCGTAAAGAACCCAAGAGAGTATATTAGGGTTACAGAGGGAGATAGAGAAGAAGAAGAAGAAGAAAGAGAAGAAGAAAGAGAAGAAGAGACAGAAGAAGAGACAGAAAAAGAAGAAGAAATGGAAGAAATAGAAGAAGAGACAGAAGAAGAGACAGAAAAAGAAAGAGAAGGAGAAGAAGAGACAGAAGAAGAAAAAGAAGAAGAAAAAGAAAGAGAAGAAGAAAGAGAAGAAGAGACAGAAGAAGAGACAGAAGAAGAGACAGAAGAAGAGACAGAAAAAGAAGGAAGAGAAGAAGAGACAGAAGAAGAGACAGAAAAAGAAAGAGAAGAAGAAAAAGAAAGAGAAGAAGAGACAGAAAAAGAAGAAGAAGAGAGAAAAGAAGAGACAGCAGAAATAAAAGAGACAGAAGAAGAGACAGAAGAAGAGACAGAAAAAGAAAGAGAAGAAGAGACAGAAAAAGAAGAAGAGAGAAAAGAAGAGACAGAAGAAATAAAAGAGACAGAAGAAGAGACAGAAGAAGAGACAGAAAAAGAAAGAAAAGAAGAGACAGAAAAAGAAGAAGAAGAGAGAATTTGGGGTGTATATGGAGGTGCATGCAGCGAGAGAGAGTGTTGGGGTGTACAGGCAGCTGCAGCAACACCAAAGAAGAGACAAAGAGAGAGAGACAGCAGCAGAAGAGAAAAAAAAATAAAAATAAATAAACACAAAAAGGAGACAAAATATAAACAAATAAATATAAAAGAAGAAAAACACAAACAAATACATATAAAAGGAGACAGAGAAATATATACAGAAGAAAACGCTGCTGCTGCTGGTCTTCCTGCAGCAGCAGCAGCAGCAGCAGCAGCAGCAGCAGCAGCAGCAGCAGCAGCAG